ATTTTTAGTTGTTTTTATTTATTTTATTTATTTTTATATTTCTTCTTTTCTTTTATTTTATTTTCCTTTAAATAAAATATCTTCCACTCGACCTTCATCACTTTAAAATTTGCTACAGCTTGATAGTTTTTAGTAAATTTTATTACAGTATAGTATGATGGCAATCTTATAAGATGCCAGATTATATAGCTATAATTTGAAAAGAAAATCACTTGCAAAAAATCTGGCAAGAAATTCCAAGAAAAAATCTAAAAAAATATAAAAAAATATAAATATATTCTTATTTTTATTATTGTTATCTTATTACAAAAGAAAAACTTGTATTGTTCATTTATTATTTAATTTACCTTGTAAGAAATTTCATCTTAAATTACTTTAAATGAATCAACATCTGATTCAGTATAATTGATATTTATAAACTATAAGAATAAAAAACAACAGTTAGACAAATAATAATCAGTGATAAAACAAGAACAAGCATAACTTTATTTACTTCAGTACTCTTATTCACATATTTATCCACTCCTGCACATTTATTCACTTCAGCACCTTTATCTATATCTTTATTTACTCTTCTGTATTCATCTATTTTAGTGCCTTTATCTACAATATTATCAATCCCTATACCATTATTTGCCCTGGTGCCTTTATTAGTAGTTAGGATCTTAGAAATATTCATTTGCATTACATGTATATTGTTCACATAATTTGAAAATGTATCTGTTGTCTGATTCATAAATGAATTCTACATATTGTTTGTAATTGAGTTTTTTTTAGGATATGTGAATGAATTTTTCATAGAATATGTAGATAAATTCTCAATATTATATGTAAATATATTTTTCATGTTATTGGTAAAAGCATTTTCAATATGATTTACAAAAGTACTTTCTTTATGATTTGCAAAAGAATTTTTCATGTGATTTGAGAAAGAATTTTCTATACAATTCATAAATGTATCTATTCTTATATGATTTGCAAACATATCCTTATTCATATGATTGGTGAATTCAAAGATCATGTTTTTGTAAATGCGAAGGTTAATTTCTGTTATTTTGAAGTAATATGAATTGATATGTTATTATTTTAATAAAATTTCTGATTGATTAATTACACTAATTACTTACATAAATTTGAATTTTTTTGATTTCTAATGTTTTTTATTTATTTTTTTTTATTTATTATATATATATATATATATATATATTTTTTAAATTTGATTTCTTAATTGCCTGATGTTCTCAACTAGTCATATTATACTCGATTTTATTGCTTAAATATTGCCACTATTCAAATCACAATCCACGTTCTAATGGTAACTATGTATATATTTGAATATGATTAAAGGTTGTATTTTTATTTTATACACCTGCTTTTTATTCTTCTACTCTGCTTTACTTTTTTAATACTAAACTTCTTCTTTATCCCCGAACTGTCTACACACATGATGTTTTTTGGTGCTCTTGTTACTCAAAGTAAAGAAGTAAAGGTTTGATTTTTAAGATCGAACTTCATATTTATTGATTTTTAGTATATGTATAATTACATTATTTTCTGTCAGTTAGACTTTAAATTACTAAATTAGTTTGTCAATTAGACTCCAAAAAATTATTTGGTCATGACCTTGTACAACCTAACCCTAACTCCAGCACAATTACCCTAACCTGGTACTAAGTATTTATGCAACTGATCATGTTACACCACATGTTACATTATACTGATTGATATAACCTGGCACAGAAAGTCAGAGTGCTATAAAAAGTTACACATGTAACCAATTGTACACTCTTCTGTAGTGGTTCATTGAACCACAATACCAATAAGTAATTAATAAAAGTCAAAAGACCAAAGAGGTTACCTTAATAAAAAAAATAAAAATAAAATAAAACAATTACTTAATAATACAAAATAGAGGAGTGTGGTAACTTAGTGAAGTGGTAGGTTGTCAACTCCAAGTAGCAGGTCCAGAGTTCAAATCCTAGTGTTAATAAAAAATTTAAAAATCCTCTCTGTATTATAGTTAACTGTTTCTTATAATTGGTTGGGATAAGACACCTATTATCTGTGTTGCACTAGCATGATTGGCAGGTTATATAATATTTGTGTAATAGTCATATGACATTGTCCTTTGGAACAAGGTCTGTAGTTACATGAAAGAATGCAAACCAGTACTAGGTAATGCAAACCTACAATAAGTCCTTATGGCCATGTAAATTACAGGAACTAAAAGATAGAAGCCTATTTGGAAAACCTGAATAGAAAGGTAACCCAAGCTTTTGACAGTGTTACTATAAAGATTAGACTTATAAAACAGATTTAGAACTTGTAAAACTGAGCAAATGTGCTGGTCTTGAGAATGGATCAAATGAACCAACCAGGCTGCTAGAATTTACAGGTTCTGAAAGAAAAGAGTACCTGCTAGCAAACATGTAAACCAGAGGTGTATGGTTTTAATTTACCTTTCTAAGCTATCTGGAATGACAGCTTGGTGGAACTTGGATTAAATACTAAAGTAATAAGGATATGTTGTAAAATAAGTACCAGAGTTTGGGTAAATTCTACAAAGGCATAATAGTTTAATGATATGCTCTGACTACCAGTGTTGGTCTTAACTATAGTAATACCAGGTTAGCTATAAGAATAGAATACAGAAGATTCTGGAAGGTTTAGTACAAGATCAAAGATTCTAAAGAACTACTTTAAAGACTTAGTAACTATGGCATATTTTCACTAGTATTGGTCAAAGTTATTAGTAGATAGAGGTAGGTGGATGGATACAGAAACTGGAATAGTTAAATAGAAAACCTACAAGCAGATTCCAGATATAGCAGCTAGTATAGAACCTTTAGGTAGATTACTTAAATTAGACAATGACTAAAGTTGTACAAGTAGCTAGTTGTACACTCTTTCTATGATTGCCCTCTGTGGTTGTAATGCAACTATTAGCCAAATATAATATCAATAAAATTCTAGGTCACAAGTACTTACCTTAATATTTTAAAAAAAAATAATACAAAATAGTTAGTAATTATATCATTATTAAATAATTAGTATTTGTCTAAAAAAATATATCTAAAAGAATATTAAAAAAATATATTTGTAATTTTTTAATTAAATTGAAAAAATAAATTATTTTAACAATAGAAACAAGTTTTTTTATACATTACCTAGTTGTATCTTTAGTAATATACTACATATATATTAAAAACTAAAAGAATTAGATTGTTAAAGATTAATTTATATAAAAACTTAAGATTCTTGTATATATATTTAAATTTTAAATAAATTATATTAGATATATTAAACCATACTATATATATATTAGAAAAATTTTTAAGCAGATTTTATTAATATATAGCATTTAATTGATATATATTAATTAAAAATAATTAATATATATTAATTAGTTGCTATATATTAATATATATTATTATTAATATATAATTATTATTAATATATAATAATTATAAACAATTATAATTATTATTAATTAGTAATAATTTTTATAAAATTCATTAAATTTTTTTAAACTTTGATTTAAATTTTCTTAATAACTACTAATTCAAATTGAATAAAATTTTTACTATATATAGTATATATATTTAACTATATAAAATTAAAAGTTTAATCAATTTAGATAATTTGTTTTTAAGAAATCACTTATAAACAATAAGTTATTTTTTAAAAAAAATTAACTATAGTTTAAAGTGATTTTTTAAAAATAAATTATTCAAATTAGCTAAACTTTTAATATTATATAGTTAAATGTATATACTATATATAATAAAAATTTAAGCCACTTTGGATTAGTAGTTATCAAAAAAATTTAAATCAAAGTTTAAAAAAATTTAATAAAATTTTGTTATATATTATTAGTAATTACTAACAATGATACCTAGTAAAGATGCTATATATCAATAATAATTTAAGAATTACTAATAATATATAACATCTTTAAAAACTTTTCTAATAGCAGATGTGGCAACTTAGTGAAGTGAATAGGTTGTCAACCTCCAAGTGACAGGTCTAGAGTTCAAATTTCAGTGATAGTAAAAATTTGCAATTCTTACTGTATTACTGTTAACTGTCTTCTGTGATTAGTTAGAATAAAATACCTGTAATCTGTATCATACTAGCATAACTGAAAGGTTTAAGCTCTTGTACAATATTGTATAAAGGAACACAAACTGATACCAGATGATGTGAACTCAAGATAAGTTCTTAGGTCATATAAATCACAGAAACCAGATAGAAAGACTTAAGTAAAAAGATAACCTGAACTTTCAACAGTGTTATTATAAAGACTAGATTTATGAAATAAAGTTAGAATTTGTAAAACTAGACAAATATGTCAGTCTTTAAGAAGAGACCAAATAAACCAACCAGACTGTTAAAATTTTCAGATTTCGAAAAAAAAATACATGCTAGTAAATATATAAACCAAAGGTGTAAGTTTCAATCTACCTTTCTGATCTATCTGAAATAGCAGCTTGGTAGAACTTGAATTAAATACCAAAGTAGTAAGAATATGTTGTAAAGTCAGTACTAAGGTTGAAGTAAACTCTATAAGGGCATAGTAGTTTAATGATATGTCCTGACTGTCAGTGTTAGTTTCAACCATAGTGATATTAAATCAGCTATAAGAATAAGATACAAAATATTCTAGAAGGTTTAGTACAAGGTTAAAAGTTTCAAAGAATTGCTTTAAAAACTTAGTGATTATAGCATATTTTTACTGATATTAGTCAGAATCATTGATAAGCAGAGGTAGGTAGGTGGATATAGAAACTAGAGTAGTTAAATAAGGAACTTACAAGCAGGTTCTAGATATGACTACAAGTGTAGAACCTTCAGGCAACTACTTAAATTAAACAATAACTAAAGTTGTATAAGTGGCTAGTTGTATACTCTTTTTATAATTGCCTTCTGTAGTTGTAATACAACCATTAGCCAAATATACTATCAATAAAATCCTGAGTTACAAGTACTTATCTTAATATTTAAAAAAAAAAAACTTTCTTAATATAAAATAAAGAATTAAACTAAATAATAAACAAAAATAATATAATAAATAAAAAAATTATTTTGTTATTGAGAAGAAACTGATATGCAATAATTTTGTAAATAAAAAACTAATTAGATCAGTTTGCAACAATAGGAGTTATATAGTCAAAAAGATATTTTGTATTAACTTTTGATGATATACAATGCTAAGAACTTTTGTATAATCTTTTATCTTTTTTAAATTTTCTTTAATAAAATTAAAAAGAATAATGTTTTGTATATTCTAATTATTTTTTTCTTTATTAATCTGTTATTGTAATTATGAAAGATTGGCTTTTTAAGAAGCTTATTATTGAAATACTCATCTCTATAAATTTGACAATGTTTATAATAAAGAATACTAAGATTTATAATAAAACATTCATTAAAATATCTTATTATTAGTTTATTATTAATGAATTTTGAATTTAGTACTCTATTACATAATATCACCAATATGAAATATAGATTTGTCATATTTATTACAATTGTTAATATATGTATTAGACAAGGAGTACTAATAGAATTGAACTGCTATGAAACATAAATATTATAATAGTCATTAATATTTAATATAAAAAATTTGTTCAAATATTTTAAAAGAATATTTTTTATGCACATCGGTTTTCTGTGCCAATCATGTGGCGCAGGCAAATTTTCTGAAGCTTATTAATATTAGGGTTAGCATTTTGAATAAAGTTAAAGGATGTTTTGAAATTTCATGTCCGTGTTACGTTACACCTGATCTTGAAATATGATTCGCAGTTCGACCACATGATCGACATAACCTGACACAGAAAACCGATATGCATTTTTTACATATTGCTCATAAATATTTGAAATTTTTTTTCTTTAACTGCTAAATAAAATTTATTAAAAAAATTTTTTAATTTATAATTGGTTTATACAATATATAAGTTCTTTATACATTATATGTTCTTTATCATAGAAGATTCATACTATTGTCCTAATAACTTCTTTATTTACAACTTTTAAATCTTCACTGACTGGAATTTGTGTTTCTCTTCTAATATTAGATTCTATTTCTTGAACTAAAATTTTTACTTGTTTAACAGTTTTGTTTAATAGATTTACAATATAATTCATATAACATCTATTATACAAAATAATACACTCTTTTTACTTATTTTTTATTAAACCTTTATATTCAACTTCTTTTCATTTTTCTTCTTTCAGTGAACAAAATCTCTTTGAAATGGTAGTAGAACAGTTACCACATTTTTCAATTTTAGACATGTCTTTAGCAAAATAAAAAAATATGAAAACAGTTGGATTCAAATGGATTCAGTGAATATATTGTTGAACAAAGTGAGTGCTTCAGTTTGCTTAGTGTACTTTGCCTGCTTTACTATAAAGTTAGGTTACCCGAGCTTTTGAAAAAGTATTGTAAAGCATATAAAAAATTTTTTTAGCCATTGGGATTGCTTGTGTAACATGGACGGTCCGACCTCGAGCTAGGGTTGTTAATGGAGTGGCATACTCTGGAGCCACTACGGAGTGAGCCCAACCCAAGTTGGAATGGGTTAAAGATATGCCTAAAAATCTGAAGTGAAACTGGAGTGAACTGGAGCAGCTCTAAGCAAGCCGTAGTAGCTCCGGAGTGGGTTGCGGAGTTGCTTAACCCAATCAAACCCAACCCATTAACAACCCTACCTTGAGCATATCACCCTTCCGCTACGCTCCGGACAATAAAAACGTTAACGAAAGGACCATTCTTAAAAAAAAAAATAACAAACTTACAAAAATTGCTTTTACAGTCGTACCCCCTAAGTGCAAGTATTATGTAAAACCTCTAAATGCACGATACGGATTGGCTCCAATTTATATCATCCTATATATTTTTATTCTCTATAAGTGCAAGCCTCCTCTAAATGCAAAATTTTAACTATGATCCCGACGGGATGCTCTTAGGAAGGTGCGACTGTAACTCAAAAATTCATTTTGAATCTGCTTTCACAAAACAACCCTGTTTAAATAATTTCACTAGCCAATCAAATTTCAAAAAACTAAAATAATCCAAAAGTCATTCGTAATTCGAAACTTTTATCTGTGAAACTACCTTTTGCGTACTAACAAAAAGTTTTTCTTGCGACATTTGGTATAAGTATAATTCCCTAAACCTAACCTACTAGTAGCAAAAGGTTTTTTCCTACGAAATTTTTTTTACATGTATAAAATGTTCTAGACTGGTGTTAATAGTCTTATTATAGTTCTTCTGACCTAATCAATAGCGAATTTTTTTTAGCTAGGACAATTCTGTAAACTTATTTCTTCCGGCCCTACAATATGAATTTCCAAATTAAACGGAGTATTTACCTACTTTCCCAGAATTTTGAAGTTGCACAATGTTGTACAAGTTTCTTTTACAACTTCTATAGAACAAATGGCCCGAGACACAACGGAGTTTGTTCACATTTAGCCGTAATTGTACATAATTTGAACGTTGTAAATGTTTATATATAAATATATTGTAAGTATGGTAACTCACCTTTTTCATGTTTAGACAGTCCAAGTTTTAAAAACGATAAATTTGAGGTAATTACATTCATTCAGAATAATAATGGCTTTCCAACCAAGAGAAAAAAAAGAACCTACCAATAACATAACGGATGGAAAGAATTCAGCTGAAGAATACAACGGAAGACTCAGCACGTCAGGAATAGCTAATACCGTACAAACGGTAGGCGATGCCGTTCAGCCTTTTATTCCATTATTCAGTATGGTCACAAATATCGTTCAACAATTATCAACAATCTACGAAAATGCCAAATGCAACCAAAAAATTTGTTTAGTATTAGTTGAGCGTGTCGAGATCGCGCAATACGCAGTAAAATCTTTACAGCGGCAGAAACAGGCTAATGAAGAAAGATTTCGAAATCAAAAATATTATTATGCATTTGTTAGATTTGTTAATGTTTTAGAGAATATTAAAAAATTTGCTAAAGAAATTACGCAGCTATCATGCTTTCAAAAATTTATAAATGCCAATGCAATTAAAGATGCATTTGATAAAAATATCAGAGAATTTGAAGATGTATGTAGTGATTTGCATTTTACCATAGCAATGTATGATGTTGAACGAAGAGAACAAGAGGCTAAAAATGTAGCTGAAGATATTGATGTTTTGAACAAGGTATTCTTATTGTCATTTCTAAAAAATTTTTATCTTATACGTAATTTATGTGGTTTAAATTGTAAATTCCAAATGATCTGGTAAGTCTATGAATGAGGTGAAATTTAATATCAAAGTGGTAATGAATGAAGTGGCTGCATTAGCGTCAAGTATGGAGAATTTGAACTTACAAGCCAGCAAATCAGCAGGTAGAGCTACTACAGCAAGAACACCTTTGAGTGAAGCATACAAAGCACCCACGGTGGACCCAAGTCACTTAAATGAACCATTTGCATCAGATGATAATGTTCGTGGTAGCAGAAAAACAGTTGTTAAAAAATTGTTTCGTGGACTTGAAGTTGCTTGTAAAAAAGTTCCAAATATCGAAAATAATGATACAGCACAATCTCAAAAAGGTCAAACAGAATTGATTATTCTACTTAAATTAGGAACCTTGTGTCCGAATGTTGTTACTTTTTATGGACTTTCAAAAGTGGATAACAACGATGTAATGGTTTTTAACTGGGCATCATACGGCAACTTGAAAGAGATGTACACAAAATATGAAATAAAGTGGCCTTTGAAACTGAAATTTGCTCGTGATATATGTAACGGTCTCGTATTCGTACATCAATGTAATATTTTGCATCACGATGTTCGTTGTGAAAATATTTTGGTACGAATGCATTCACGTTTTAATATCTATACCTTAAAATATTTGATAATGATGATTTCTATGCAATAATAGATTACGGATAGTAATGAGGCTAAACTTTCGAATTTCGAACTGAGTCGTACTGTTCAAGGATTATCTGCAGAAGTTAAAAACTTGTTAGATATTGTTAGATGGTTAGCACCAGAAAAAATGCGTGTAACAAAAGGTGGCACCGAACAACGATATAATCATCAATGTGAAATGTTTAGGTAAATGTTAAAATCTTTTAACCAATAATAGTTTAAGTTCATAAAACTAACATATTATTTTATAGTTTTGGAATGTTGCTTTGGGAGCTCTGTCATCAAAAAATTCCTTATAAAAACATGAATAGTGTGACCGCTATTCAAGAACATGTCATGAATAAAAAACGTGAAACTCTTAAAATTGCACTTTATCCATCAGAAATTCCAAATGAACTTGCGAAAATCATTAAAAAAGGTGATCATAATTATTTATTCATATATAATGTGTTGTTAGCAAGTTTTAATTGGAATAATTATTTATAAAAGCTTGGCAAGATGAACCGTCCGCACGTCCTTCAGATTTAGAGGTACAATTGAAATTAAAAGAACTTTATGAACGGTTTCAGGAATCTTCTCCTCAGATACGTCCTAAAGATCCTCATTGTGATATTGAAATCCCAAATATTGAATTAACAGAATCACAGATTGAAATGCCTTGCGACTTAACTGAATACTCAATACCTCCAATACAAACCCTCATGCCTTTTGAGGATGGAATCAAAGAACACAAAGCGAAAAATTACAAGGTTTCTTGGGAATGCTTTGTTGGTCATGCAGAGCTCGGAAACAATGTAGCCAAATATTGGAAGGGTTATTATTTGTTAACCGGACTTAACGGGCGTAAGGATCCTGAAGCTGCTCTTCGTCTTTTTAAAGAAGCAGCAGATAATGGTGTTGCCGATGCACAACTTCGCTACGCGTTTGCTCTTATTGAAAACAAAAGTAAGAACGTTGCTGAAATAATGAAATATATGATGATGGCCGCAGACTATGAGAACTCTACTGCGCTTTTTAATTTGGGTGATATTTATTGGCATGGGAAACTTGGGATACCAGTTGATAAAGAAAAGGCCGAGTCATATACTAGATTAGCTGCCTTGAAAAATCAACCCAAAGCAATTGCTCTTTTAGAACAAATTAATGCGGAAAAAATGAAAAAATCTTAAGTTGTATTATTATATGTATTATAATATACTTCCACCCGAACAATGTGATGCTTGACTGTTCCATGATCGCGTTATAATTACAGGTAATAAATGTATCAGGCTTCACATGGTTCGGGTAGTAATTTGTAGGTAGATTGATAAAATCCTTATATCACATTTCTACATGATCACATTTATAATATCCTAATATATTCATAGAGTTAGGGATAGGGTTTTGTACTACGGTTTGTACTACCAGCCGAATACGTTATAATCACATGTATATATATAAATGTGATTATATAAAAATGTGATATAAGGGTTCACGCTTCTTATTTTCGTATCAAATCTATTGTTTTAGAAATAATGTAAAATTAAAATTTTTATACGGATGCAAATGAAACCAATGCTAAACATGGTTAGTTAAAATAGGTAAACAGAATGTGCCAATTCTATATAAATAGGGATGCTATCTTGCTTAAACTGGTCAATTTAAACTGTAAATACATATTTTTTTTGCGTATACAGTCAAGCCTCCATAAGTGCACGCCCTTTGGACCAGGGCAAATGTGCGTTTAGAGGTTAATTATGTAAAATTTAACTAACCAATTAAAAAGCATAAAAAATATACGCGTTATTAACTCAAACCTCTGTAAGTGCACGTCTTTAGAACCAAAGTAAGGTTTGCATTTAGAGAAAGATGTAAAATATCACTTGCATGCATTTACATATCGAGTGTCGAGTTAGAGATAGTCCGGTATTAAGCAATAATGTCAATCAACTATACTACAACAAAATTATCTGGGCAGCTTTATTTGGTACATGGGTTACCATTTTATTAGTTGATTTTGGAAGAAATTTATTAATTATGTTCTATTCTAACTTTGGATTTTACAAATTTCAAATTTTATATAAAAAATAGATTGTAAATCAATGAAGTTGAGCTAATAGAAATAGAACAAATATATTTAATAAATTTAGTTTATTTTTTTTTAAATTTAACTAGCCTTTTTGGAATTAGAGTTATTTATTAGTAACAGTTAATGCTTTAAAAAGCTTTCTTACATTAGAAAGTACAACTAGTTATATGTATACTTTTGGTATTTAATTTAAGTAGTTTATCTATATATAGGTTCTACCTGCAATTCAACTATAGGTATTGCTTATTTGGGATTTTTGTCTTAAAAATAACCTTACAAAACATAGTAAATCATATAATTCAAACTTGGCAATATCTATTATTATTAGAACATTTCAAATATATAAGTTAGTTAAAAAGTTTTAGATGTTTACTTATATCTTTAAAATATTTATCTTATTTTATATAGTTGATTTTTGAGGTATTATTACTAAAGTTTTTTATAGCTCATACTACAATTAACCTAGTTTACAACTTGTATAAAATTTATATGATTTTAATATTTATTTTTGTAATTTTAATAATTTTTTATTTATTTTTACAAGTTCTTTTATCCTACTAATTCAATTAGTTCTTTATAATATTGTTTTATGTTTAAATTAATTAATAATTAGATTAGTAATATTTTCTACTTAGAGATTTTAATTATATAAGTTATCTGTTTTGAATTTTTTTTTTAAGTTAAGATTTTTATAAATAATATTATTAAAAGTTGCATTATTTCTTTGTTCAAAATTTTTTAATAAATTTTTTTTCTTTTTTTAGTAATTTTTATTAAAATTTGTATCAACTAAATAGTACATATTTAAAATATAAAAAGATAATAATAAAATATATAATTAAGAAATAAATAAGAATATAAAAAAAATAATAAATTTATACATTAGCTTTTACAGAATGATTATATTTATTTTGAATAATCACAGTTATTTATAAAGTCTATATTGGGTTTTTATTTACTAGTTTATATAATAAAAATTATATATAGTATTAACAAAAATTTAAAAAAGGAGATCTGCATACACTCTCTTCTGAACACATGAGTTTTGGAGTAGAGTAACCTTTTTATTAAAAATAAGAGCAAACAACAAGACAAAACTGACTAAAGTATTTACTAAAACAAGGGCCTTTGTCTTTGTTCCAAGAAAAAGATCCTTTACAGAATTTTAATACACAAAAAGCATAAAAATAACAAAAAAAATAGCATCAACAAGTAGCAGAAAAAAAGTAAAGAAAAACAAAGAAAATGCATCAAGCTCTTTAAACTTGATGACTAATATAGAAGAAACTACTAAACATGAACAAAAAGAAAAGCAGATACTAAAAGAAATTATTAGTGAAAACCTAACAAGCTAGGACAAACAAGTTGAACTAGAAATAGAAAAAACAAAAGCTACTCAAGACCAAAAAGTAAACAAGAATAACATGTCCAAAGATACTATAAACATAACAACAAACAACATGTCTGAGGAACAGGTAATATTAGACAACTTAGAAAAAATTGAAAATACAACAGAACAGGAACTAAACATAATGAAAAACTTACAAAGTAGAAGTTTGTTAAACAAAGCATATAAAACTAACTCTTACAATAATTTACAAAAAGACAGTAACAGACAAAAAGGTCCAAAAGAGACACTAACTAAACAGTAGTCTAGTCTCTTTTCAAAATTAAGAAGAGAACAGTCTACCTACTCCTCCTTCATGTCCAGAAGCCAAATTAGATCAAAAAATAAAAATGCTCTAATGATAAACATTCAAGGTATGCACAGTTCTTTTAATGAAATTATGGCCTCATTATTCAAGAATCTTAAAAAAGATGTCATAACAGCAAAACAACACTTTATGAAAGGGACACACACATATTTGAAAATTGTGTTCAAAAACAAAAACAAATTAAAACATTATGCTATCAAGAGTATTAATATTTGTAGTAGAACCTACTTTAGCTTTATCCCTACAGATTCAAAAAAATCATTTCTTTTAGTTAAGATCAGAAATGTTCTGCTAGATAATAAAGAAGCAATATTAGATGCTATAAAAGAAGCCTTCAAGTTTGTGGGCAGAATCGCATCAATCAAGCCCCTACTGATCAAAGGAACACCTTATCTTATAGATCAATAGATTATAATCTTTGAAAACTCAGATGATCCTAATCTAGAAAGCAAAATACCTTGTTTCACACATATGTAGAACAATAAGATTATAACAGAATAAAAATTAGCACCTAAAATGTGCTACTTCTATGAAAAAGAAGGCCATGTTAAAAAAGAATGCCAACAATTTCAGGACTCAATAAATCTATGAATTAGCTATTAACAATACAAAGAGGACAAACATAATAGAAGACTCTCAAATGATTTTCAGAAATTAAATAAAACTTCAGAAAGTACCAAACAGAACAATGAAGAACCTCTATCACTAGCAAACTCTAAGTAGCAAGAACAAAATAATACAAAAGATAATGCATATATGGCCTTAGAGGAAACTGATCTTAGCTATCAGCAAAACCTTCAGCTACTAGTTTTAGCAGAATTAGCTACAATAAATAACAGCTCAGATGAACAAATATAAGCAACAACTCAAGAAGATCTCTTACCAGATACAGAAATGCTACCAAGAGATGAACTTGTCATTTATAGCTATAGAACATTATATCTATTTGCAAGTTACATTCCCAAAGCAGCTTCTCTTTCTGACAAAAATGAAAAAACAGATGGCTTTATCACAGTCATTAACAGAAAAACCAAAAAAGGAAACAGAACATCTAAGAAAGATAAAACAAGATTATCTCTATACAAAAAAACTTATAGAGAAGCAAGCTATTTTCAATTCAAGGGATCCAACAACCTTATATAATTTATGACTCAAAAAACCAAATTAAAAATAGCAACACTAAATATAAAAGAACTTAACAACAAAAGAAAACAACAAAACTCACTAACTCTCTTAAAATCATACAAACTAGACATAATAATGCTTTAGGAAACTAACCTTAATAATGAAAAAACACAAGAATCCCTTAAATAACAATGGATTTATAATTCAATCTGAACTAAAAAAACAGCAATTTTAGCAAAAAGCAAAGATATTAAATTTAAAAACATTCAAATAAGCCATGAAGAAAGAATAATAACAATAGACTTTGCATTTAAAGGATACTTCTTTAAAACAACAAACATCTATGCATTACCAAACTTTAGTGACAAAATAACCTTTTTTAATGACTAGAAACCTCAAATCAAAAAAAACAATATAAATAACAGCTCAGATGAACAAATATAAGCAACAACTCAAGAAGATCTCTTACCAGATACAGAAATGCTACCAAGAGATGAACTTGTCATTTATAGCTATAGAACATTATATCTATTTGCAAGTTACATTCCCAAAGCAGCTTCTCTTTCTGACAAAAATGAAAAAACAGATGGCTTTATCACAGTCATTAACAGAAAAACCAAAAAAGGAAACAGAACATCTAAGAAAGATAAAACAAGATTATCTCTATACAAAAAAACTTATAGAGAAGCAAGCTATTTTCAATTCAAGGGATCCAACAACCTTATATAATTTATGACTCAAAAA